CCATGGCAGGGACATCAGTTTATTTTCTCTTAAGAAGTTTTAAAGTCTTTTCACGTGGATAGAGATTTTTAACCCAGAGGCAAAGGAAAAACCTTAGTTACATGGATAACTCCTCTCCAGCACTGAAAACATACAACTCCCCTTTGTAATCAAAATCTATTTTCTAGGCAAGAAAAGAAAACTCACTACATCTGAACATTTATGCATTAGTCGGTCTAAAGTCAAAACTTTCGGTTGAAAATGACCTGAAATCCCTTCCATAGATTTATCTGCACGACTGCACATGCCTGTTCCCCTCCCCCTCCCTCCCCATCATCCTTTTATTAACATTTATTTTCCTGGCATAATTTCTCTGAGCTACATCTTATATTTAAGTTCTGTCTAGCATCATTTCAGGACACGTCAAACGTCAGATGTGTCTCTCTTCTTCTCTGCTTCTTTCCTTTGTCCTAGTTCAGGTTCTTGTCACCCTTCATCCAGACTACTGCCATAAGCCCCTTAACTGGTCTGCCTGCCTCCGCTCTCTCCGATTTATAACCAAATTTCACTGCATGAAGATTTCTAAAACACAAGTCTGATCAAGTTTATCCCTGTCCTTCAGCAGCTCCCCATCACAGACAGAATAAATTCTATGCCTTGGTCTATCATTTCTCAGCAAATCACAACTTGAACTTTACCTGCCCTTTTTCCTTCTTCTGCCACCTTCCCACAACTCATGTTAACAAAAAAAAAAAACACCTAATAATTGCCAGAACCTTCTTCATGCCATGCTCTTTCTTGTCTCTGAGGTTTGCACATGCCTTTCTTTCTACCTGGAATTCTCTTTCTCACTTTTTCTGTCTATTGAGTGTCTACTCATCATTTAAGGCTAAACTCAAATGTCGCCATCCCTTTAAGGCTGCCTTTCCTGGACTCCCCAGTGGCCAGATGTACTCTACCCTGTTTTTTAATAGTACTTTTCATAAATCAGTTTTATCACTTCAAACACAACATTGTAATTCTTTCTTGCTTTATACTTCACTGTACAGGAATTTCTTTTAAGGGCAGGAGCTATGTTAATTATCTTATTCCAAGGGCATAAAATAAGACCTGATGCAAAGCAGGTTCTTAATTATTTGTTGAATAAATGAAAATTATTGTGGCATCCCAAACACTGTGGTTAGAAGCATGAGAATAAGAGTCCTAGAATATCTCCAATAAAGAGAAATGTGGATATATATCTTGGGGAATGTAGATAGTTTCCTAAACACTGAAACTGTGAAACACATTGAATTCAGTTATGACCTTCATTCTTTTCCATGTTTAATACCGGCTTTCCTGTGCATTATACAAGATAAGCTTATTGAGAACAGGAACCCAAAATATCTTGTTCAGACCAATAGTACAGATGCTCCAATGTTATTTTCTTATAGATAGACATGCCTGGAAAACGCTTTAGCTGTGGTTCACTTTCCATACCACGTCTTTCTTCCCTGAATGCTAGTTATTTTTGTGCATATTCTCTCAACTAGGTTATAAACTCTTTCAGGTGACAGCAAGTCTTTGCTCCCAGAAGAGGGCTTTGCACACAGGAGGTATTCAATACATACCTGATGAATGACATAAAGCATTAATTCAAGAAACATTGAGAGATTTTGAAAATGATAACTTTTGAAGCTGATGTTTTCCAAACTAAAAGGCTTCACTTGGCAAAACTAACTTAGTATTAAACTCCTTATGGCAAGCATGACTTGGTAAGTCTGGCTGACTCCAAAAACCGAGGTGCTGACAACTTAGGTATCTAGGAGTGGAGCACACCTATCTCAAGAAACCACACCAAGCACGCGAGGTTGCAACATTCTCCACCTAGGAAGCCAGTGCTATAAATGGTTTTACCTGCTGCTGTTAGGCTGGCACTATTTGTATCTTTTCAATCAGCTCCCTAACAAATGGCTTACACCTGAGAGACTGTGAATGGGGTACAATAAGGGGGATTGGAATCAAATTCTTTAAGCAAAGTTACTGGTTAGCATGAGAAGTGAACTCCAAGATCACGGTCTCATTAGCTTAGCCAACTATTGATAGCCCAGTCTATCTTTGTCAGATGCAGTTTTCATGTGTTAAGTTTTAGACTGCAAAAGGACATAAACAGGGAAATCACGAAGACAGATGGATTTGGAGAAGAGGTCAAAATTAAGAAGGAGTTTGAGTTTGGGGAATCTCTAGAAACACTGGTAGAGGCTAAAATCATGGGTCCTCAGAAAGGACCTTGAGTTCAGAACTGCTCCTGGCTAATTCTCACATTTAATTTACACGGGGAGTGATTTCGGAAGAGGAGCCATGGGAAACTGAACACTTTAAAGGAATCAGAAAATCAGAGGGAAATTAAGAAAGCTGGGACCAAAGGTGCATCAAAAGTGTTTACTTAGCTCCTCTCCGTGTGTCTGCTCAGCGCGGGAGTTCTCGATAGAGGGGTACCAAAGTGGTCTTGATCTCTGCTCTCTTAAAGCATACAATCCAATATCTCTAAGTGGTCTGGAAGGATGAGAGCTAAGAAGGAGCTATAGTTTGGCTCCAATGTGGTCTCTTCTTTATCTAAGGTCACTGGTTTTACTGGAATATTTTGACCCTTTTATTTTTGGGGGTGTGCGGTGAGGAGGAAGGTTGACATTTAAGTAGAAGAGGTAATGGAGGGCGAAGATTGAAACCTATCAAGATGTTTGGCCATAAAAAGTGAAAAGTAAACTGTTTTTTACTGTTCGGCTTTTGGAAGTGATGCCGTTCTATCTAGATATGGGTCCTAGACATGTTTCGGGGGTAAGAAGCCAGAGGAAATGAAGAGATAAAGGGAAAAGACTGGATATTTCTGTGAGTCTGGAATCTGTCCTAGACTGGGGAGTGGTAGGAATTCCAGCAGAGAGAGAGAATTCACATTTGAATGTGAAGAGCTGTCTTGCCCACAGAGCCCCGCTAAAGACCTCCCTCAGTGGCTCCCAGCCACGACTGTACATTAGAACCTCCAGGGAGCTTTTAAAAAAAGCGAGCCGACTCTGGGCGCTCCCCCAGAGATTCTGATTTAATTAGTCTGGGCCGGCAACAGTATTTTTAAAAGCCGCCCAAGTAATTAAGTACAGCAGGAGTTGAGAACTAACAACTGGGCTAGATAAAGAGATACGGAGGCGGGGGAGAGGAAAGAGAATAAATCACCTTCTGCCTTTTTTCCCTCAAAATTAAGCAGTGTTTCCCAAAGTATCACATGATTGCAGGTGGTCCTTGAAATGGTATATGATTTGATGGCACATGGATAAGTCTTCTTGGCGTTTACATACATATATAGTTCCATATATATATATCTTTACATATACACATACATATATAAACATATATTTGAATATTAGAAAAAATACAACCAGCATATCAAATTTGAGAATTCATGTATAATATTGCTTAGAGTGAGGCTAAGGGAGGTACTGAAGTTTAGAAAGTGAATATATTTAAATGAACATTCTGTAAACTCTTGTACAGGTGGAATGCGGATATGGCAAAAACTTCTAAAAGAGGTATGCAAACAAATGGAGTTTGGTGAACACGGAACTAAAGCAACCCAGAATCTATAAAATCTTGTCCCCACCTCTTTTTCTTCCAAACGTGTCTCCCTCCGCACAGCAGTGCAGCCGGCCCAACGCCATCCTCTCCTCATGGATGCCCGTGCCTCATCCCAAGCACTCAGATGCTTCTGAAACGGCCTCAGACTCAAACCAGCCTCTTCTAGCCTCACAGTCACGATCCGATCGTAACTGTAGCTCACTTGTCTCCTTTTTCATATTCAAATCTGAGCTAAACTTAACTTAGGGTGTCTTAGCCACCCTTAGCATAATAGAACAGAAAACCAACGCTCACAAGGCGTTCCAGCCCCACAAGCATAAAAGTGAAACGAAGCAACTCAAATCCAGGTTATGCAAACTCAAAGGAGGGGGTGAGGGGTAAGAGATGAAAACCCCACGCCGAGCAAACAAAACCAGCCTGCAGGAAAAGCACCGACTCGCTAACATTTCACCCTGTATTTGCCATTCTCAGGCATGATGCAACCTTAGGTTGCCCAATTTATATTTGCACATTTTCCCCTTGTCCACAACGAGCTCCGAAAGCTTCCAACTCCATAAAATTCCTCTTAAAAAGCTCAAGTCTCTAGCCCAAGAAGGTTGCACGACAGGCCAGGTGACCTCATCTTCACCTAGGCCCAAGAAAGCGTGCTGAGAAGGCTGGCAGTTGCAGAAGGAGCCCAGGAAGGGAGAAGGCACGAAGGCAGCCAGCGGGGAACTTGACAGCCAGGTTTGTACCTTTCTCCCTCCATTCTCAGGCCCGCCCACTTGCTTAGAAACTGCCAAGGGCACGGTACAGACTTCACCTTGTCCCCTGCCCTGTTTCCAGAGCCCTGCTCCTCTCCGCAATCCAAAGGACACTAATAATAGCAAGGGCAAAAAAAATGCCCAAGCCTTCCTCCCCCTCTTCCTGGTACCTCCCGCCCCCGCCCTTCCTAGGGTGGCAGCCTCCCGGTCGCCACTCATGGGCTACACCTCTGCACCACCCAACAAAATGGCAGGTTAGCAACAGGCGAGGCCGTGAGCGCCTGCTCTGGCTCTAGCCCCGCGCGGTCCCGGGCCAAGCCAGCAGGCGTCTCTGACGGCGCCCCCAAGCCCGAACACCCTTCTCCTCTCAAAGTCCCCAATCCTCGGCCCCACCGGGCCGCCTGCTCTCTCTCTTGTGGCCATTTCTGTCGCCAGCGGGGAAGCAGGTGCCAGCGTAACAGGTGCCAGGACAGAGGGCCCGGGTGGCTGCGCCGCCGCCCAGCTTCGGGCTGCGCTGGGCATCGAAAGGACCCCAGGAGGGGAGCAAGAAGAGGCCACGTCGAAAGGAAGGGAGCTGGAGGCGTGCGCAGAGGGAGACCGCCCGGGGGACAAGGATGCCGCTGCCCGTCCTCGCTCCCGGGCCGCGACCCTCGCCGAGGCTGCCCCACTTACAATCTCTAGGCAGACGAAGGCGCCCGAGTAAGTCCGCAGGATGTCGGGGCCGGCGGGCAGGGTGACCCGGGGCGCCGGGAAGGACACGGCGGGGTTCGGGGGCGGCGGGACTGCCGCTCCGCCGGCCGACATGCTGCCGCTGCCGCTGCCGCTGCTGCGTCTCCGCGCACCGCCGCCTCCCTCCGCCCGCCTCCGCGGCCCGGGATCCCGCCGCCGCCGCCGGCGCTCGGGTCCGTGGGGTCCGGGCGCGCCGCGCGGGAGGGGCGTGGCCGCGCTGCCCAGGGCCTGGCGGGGCCCCGCCCCGTCACGTGGCCCAGGTGAGCCGCCTCCGCCCTGGCGCCCTGGCCGGTCACGTGCACAGGTGCGGCAGTCACCTGGCGCTGTCCTTCCTGCTCCGGTCTCCTAGCCCCGCTTTGGGCCAGCGCCCCGCGCTCCTGGAGCCTCCCAACGCCCGGCCCCCTGTCCTGCTCTTTATTTGTTCTTGCTGTCCCTCCTCTTCCTTTTCACCTGTTTTCTTCCACCTGTCCTTCCCCCAACTCTCACAGCTCCTCTAATCAACTTTACTCACTTTCTCTGGAGGACAGGTCTTCGTTGGAGCTGTGACTCAGAAGATAAAATCAAAGTCACCAGTCCTAGCTAAAAAGTGGAGTGGATCTGCTTTAAATGGGACTCTAGTGGGATTTTTAAATCACCACTAGGACGGCGTCGCGCATTGGAGTCACTTCCAACACCTGCTGGCGGTGGCTGCCCGGGAGGGAACCGGCTGCTTTGTGGTGTGCCCATCTGTGAAATGGGGATGCACATGATGAACATGGATCATACCTACCTCGAATGGATGCTCCAATGACATGATATAACATGAAAAGAGTTTGGCGCATAGTAACCGCTCCTTAATGATAGCTGATAGCTATTTTTCTAATTTTTTCACATCCACATATCACGCTCGTGTGTACACATGATGTTGCATAGGTTATATTTTCCACATAAAACTTTAATTATTGATTTCACCTGTCTGAAACTTAGTTCTCCTTGCTGTTGTCTTTTAAACAAAAGGATTAAGATAAAAAGGGGGCTATTCTATGTAGTTTGGACTCTCTGGCCCAATTTATCCCCTTGCTATCTTCGGTGTTAATGTCAAAATTTTATAAATGAAATAAAGAGGATGAGATTATTTTTCTCAAAGATCAGCTGAAGATAAAGTACATACACCAGCATGTACATGTAGACCAGGTTGGAAACAGTATTCGCTAACATCATCAGACATTCTCCAAATTGACTACTGATCTTGTCTGTCAGGTTTAGCCTTTGAGGAACTGTGTTTAGCTCTATGCCCTGGTCAGCAGATTTTAGTCATTCTACCTCTTTATTATTTTAATAAGCGAAACTCATAGGTGTGGTGGCAGCATCAGGGTAGAAACCACAAAACAGGGTGTGGGTGAAACCTTTTGTACATACTGCCTATCTCCTCCACCTCTTAGTCATCACTTTCTGATATGTAATGTGTGGTATTTATTAAAGGAAATTTAAAGATTTCTAGACTGATTTATTTCATCAGTGAACTCTGTTCAGAATCTGATTGGAATAGAAAGATCTTTCAGTCTGGTTTATTTTATGCCTAACATTTCTCAATAAGCACTTAAAGAACTTTTGAGGGGAAGATTTCTTCAAGATCTTCATCATGGAGATGCTCAGCAACTATGATGGGCTCCCCAAATTTCAGTGAATAAACTTAAAAATGACTTTGGAGTTTCCAGAAGCGCTAATGACTCAGAAGAACCTCAGCTGTGTTTGTTTAAAAAATTGCCACCAAGGGGAAAACTTTTCACTGTGTCCCTTCCAGAACCCTCCTCGCTATACCATGTGTCCCCGACCATCCTTGCTTTCTTCATTCTACCTGCTTCCACAATGACCAGTGCAATGAAAAAGATTGTCATCGAAGCCTCTTCCATTATTGTAAGGTATTATTTGCTTAAAAACGAATTCCTGCCTAGAACAGTTTCCCTCTCTTATGACCACTACCCAAAACTCTTTTCTCTTGGTAGTACCAGTTTCCTTCTAATGAAGGTAACACTTCTGGAATCAAAGGGAGAAAAGCACTCATCCCCACCCCCACCCCACCATTCTGTCTCTTCCTCTACATAATTGAGCGTGAGCTCTTAACGGTTTCACTTCTCTGTTCTTTCCCCATCTCGTTTCCATGGTTTACTGACCTCCAGCATGACCTTTACCTTGCTCAAGGACTTCTTTTGGTCTCATCTTTTGGAATGTCATCATTCATATTCATGACACTTTCAACAATCTTGCCTCACAACCACTCGCTACGTTCAGTGAGGTGAAATCACGTCTGGATCTACCTTATTACTTGGAATTTTGCTACTGCCATTCTTTTGAATGCTAACATTCTCTATGATATCTATCTCCTATTCATCTAATTCTCCTTCATTCTCAATCCTACTTTCTCTTACTTTTCAGGGAGTTTTAGGACATCTAACCAGTAATACTTGTTTCCTTGAAAACAGGACCGTCAATCCAGGTATCCAAGACGAACATCTGGGAGTTTCCCTTAGTACCTCCTCTCCTGCCACATATTTAGTTAGTTATGAGGTCTGGCAGTTCTACCATCTTATTCTCTGGGATGTATCCACTTCTCTCCATTCCCTCTGTACTTACTCTCTCACAGGATACTATTCCTTCTCACAACAAATACTCTAACAGTCTTGTTCCCTCCCTTGTGCTGTCTACACAGCTATCACAATGATTTCTAAGCAAAAAATTGATCACAGCCACTCCTCTACTTAATTTGAAACACCCTGGAATGCATTCAAGGAATTTCTGGGGTGCAGATTCAAATGAACTCTCTGACCTCACTAGTCCTATTAATCCACCTAAAGGTCCAATAACTCCCCTGCCTCCACACCTTTACACATTCTCCTCCCTCGAATGGAACATCCTTTCTTCTTACCACTCCTCTACCTCAGATCTATTTCCTGCATAATTCCTTTGGGTCATAAAGGCAATTCTTTTTTGTTCTTTTTGGTGGGAAAGATTGGCCCTGAGCTAACGTCTGTTGCCAGTCTTCCTCTTTCTGCCTGAGGAAGATTGTCACTGAGCTAAAATCTGTGCCAGTCTTCCTCTATTTTGTATGTGGGACGCTGCCACAGCATGGCTTGACAAGCAAAATGTAGGTCCGTGCCTGGGATCCAAACCCTTGGACTCTGGGCTGCTGAAGTGGAGAGTAAGAACTTAACCACTAAGCCACCAGGCTGGCCCCTATAAGGGCAATTCTTTATGGCAGCCTTTCTCTTGCCATTGAAGATTATGTAGGGCTCCCTCCCACCCAGTGTGTTTCTATAACCTGATGTGCTTACTTCACACAGAACACTTACTTCACTAAATTGAAATTATATTTTCATTTGTCTCACATCCCTTAACTAGTGTTGTGTAACAGGATATTAAATTGAAAAGTTCAGTGGAGGCATCAAGAGATGATAGATATCAGATAATATGAGCTGCGAAACAGACCACCAGAAGTTTTAAAATAGGCTGTTTGAGAACCTATTCAATAATCTAGAAACCCTTCACTTCTATCAAGAATATGGAATGCTCAGGAATGAGAATTTAGAAAGAGGGTGATTTAGAGCTGTGCTGGGAATCTCACTTCACTCCCCTCCTCCTTCATCCCTTCTCCCATATTGAAGGAAGCAGCTGAGATTTATTCACATTATGTAATGAGAGCTCAAGCAGTATCAAGTGACCAAATTAACTCTGCATGTAGATTTCTCTGCTTCATCATCATTACTCTCTTCCTTTCTTCCTGTTTCGTAAGAAGTGTTTCTTTCCCTATCCAAAGTTGAACCCCGTCTCAGCTTCTCATTGTTTCACCTTTGTACTTCCCTTATGAAATTGATCCATTAATTTTCCCTTCTCTCTCTTCAATTTTCAATTTCCAGTTCACACTCAATTTTTCCTTCTCTATGAACGTACACAAGTTTCTCCTGTCATCAAAAACAGCAACACTTGACTTCTGCCCAAAATAGAATAACCAGGACTGGATTTACCTGCCTGGCTGAAACAACTAAATCCCAAACTATGTGAAACACTGGTTTTCAGACATTGAAAATCAGGCAATGCAGGATAATGATCTTTTAGAGATGGGAAAGAAATGGCATGAGCCCTGTTATTTTCTCAGTTTAGAGAGAGTTTCTGGAGTACAAGTGAGAGAGACTCTGTTGGAGGGCAGCTGTCTCCATGAACAGAGGTGGTGAACCTGGGAATTTGAGGAGGACCAAGGGAGCTAGAGTTCACAGAGTACTAGAATGGAAAGAGCTGCATACAGAGAAAGCTTTGAAGGTGAACAAATGGTCCCCCTTAAATATTCAGATGAATGTTTATCAGCACATGAAGGTAGGTGACTTATCTGAGGCCAGGGAAGAAGCATTCCAAAGGAGCAGAGAAACAATCCTAGGAATTCATCCAAGGACAGGAATAGTTCATGTTTCCACCATCTGGAGCGGAAGATCTCCTACTTAATGGACCACTGGATATAGTGTTAAGAAAAGCATTGTCTCAATATTGAGGCAACATCAGCCTTTGAAAAGAGACTGCTCCGGTCCTGCCTGAGAAAGCCTTTTCAAAAGCCTCAAAGTACTTAAATCATTTCCAGTTAGCTCAACTAAATCACAGAACATGCTCAAGAATATTAAGGAATACAAAAATGTCCAGCAACCAATAAGATAAGGTTCACAATGTCTAGCATTCAATTAAAAGTTACCTGTTATGTGAAGAAGCAGAAAATATGAAACATAACAAGGATAATAATCAGCCACTGTAAATAGACCAAGAAATGATACAGATGATTGTGTTGGTAGAAAAAACATTGACAGTTCTTACAAATATATTCCGTATTTCAAAAAATAGAGTAAGATTGAGCATGTTATGTAAAAAGGACCAAAATTGAATTTCTAGATATGGAAACTACAATCTCTGAGATGAAAAATACTCTGCAGAGAATTAACAGAAAATTAGATACTGCAGAAGAAAAGATTAGTTAACATGAAGACATAGAAATGGAAACTAAAATGAAAGACACAGAGAAAAAAAGACAAAAAAAAATTAATAGCATAGGAGCAGTGGGATAAATTCAAGTGCTTTAATATATTTGTAAATAGAGTCTGAGCAGGATAAG